GAGAGAGAGAGAGAGAGAGAGAGAGAGAGAGAGAGAGAGAGAGAGAGAGAGAGAGAGAGAGAGAGAGGACCTTATAGACTTTGAAAAAAAAATCACTTGCAACTGAATCATCTGAAAAAGGGGAGAAAAAGTATAACCTCTGGCGGAGCAAAGCCTGTAAATGAAGTAATCTGATTGCAGATATAAATTAAACATCTGTTGATAAGATTTTAATTCATAGAAAGTAATCTTGATATATTTAATTATATTACTTTGATTTTTGTATTTGCTGGCATTACTTACTACTAAGTCCACACCACTTCATTTAACGTTCAATTCTTTTGCCACCTTCTTGCTGCGTGCCTAAAGAAATCCCGTCCGAAATTGGGAAACCGTATGCCCCGCTATACGGCCATACAGTTAATTTTCGTCACTGAATTCGCTATGATCTTGTTGGCTATTGTTGGTTGTTGGTTGTTGTTGTTGTTGTTGTTGTTGTTGTTGTTGTTGTTGTTGTTGTTGAAACGGTTTCACCCAGTTCACTCGACAGATGCAGACTTCAGGACTCGATCCCTAGACGTACCCCATGACCCTGTACATCAACCCTCTGTTGTTGTCGTTGTTGTTGTTGTTGTTGTTGTTGTTGTTTTGGGGGGAGGTTCAGTTTCTATTGTCATCCAGAAGGAAATTGAGAGCATGTCTTAAATACTCGTGAACTTAAAGATAGTGAAAATTTGGAATTTTCAAATTTTCAATTTCCTTTATTAAAAGGAATAAATTAATTAAAATTTAAAATTTAAATTTATGAATTTGCAGGATTTACCGAATTCCGCGAGTGCAACAAAGTGCGTACTTTAGATGCTACGTTATACCTGTGCTCTATTTTTTGTTTGTCAAGTTAAACTGCATTTGTTCACTTTTTTTTTTCTCGTTCTTGTTTTTTTTTTCTCGTTCTTGTTTGGTACTGCCTTCTGTTCGTAATTTTCAAGACGTTTATGAATTTTCAGCCAAGTTATTATCTTTGTGACTCTTGGCTTAAATCCACATTGCTTTGGTCTTGATGGTTGACTAGGTTCACGGAAACTTCGTCCATCCACTAACCATCATGTCTGTGATACAACAACTATATAAAGTTATAAACACTCTTTCTGAACCTTTGCAGGGAGGCACTGCAGAGAGAACAGGTCAGGAATGGACACTTTTTTGAAGTTTTTTCCCTTTGGAGAAAGTAGATGGTAGGGATAGGTAGCTCTGTTGAAGTACATAGAGCGAGTAGGGTGGACATGTGGAAGGGGAGGGGAGGGGAGGGGACGGGGGAGAAATGGGAAGAGGGCCGGACAAGGTGGGGGGATAGACATTCTAGAGATGTCTCAGTGGTTTGGACGATCCATGCCAGATGATGTCACGTGTGAAGATTGAGCGAGGGATCATCAACGCATTGCCAATCAGTCCGAGAAGAACCATGAGGACTGACATCCCCGCCATTCCTTCTGGATTTCTAAGATTGGACAGCTGCATACGCACAACCACCAACACGAACAAAGCGCCCATCCGCACATGCGTAAGCGTTAGACATTCGCACATCAGAGAAACAGCGGCAGAAGAGAGGGAAAAAAAGGTCCAAAACAACAACAACAACAACAACAACAACAACAACAACAACAACGACGACGACGACAACAACGACAACAATACGAGCAAATCATCCATCCAACCATGCTTGAGAGTTTTGACATTTGCACATCAGAGTAACTACAGCAGAAGAGAAAACAACAACAACAATCACTTTACGATTGAAAAGTTAAAAGATGAAAGATGAAAGTTGAAAAGTTAAAAGATGAAAGATGAAAGCCGATGAGCGCATGCATGTAAAAAAGAAACGGAAAACGATCAAGAAAATCAAAGAAATGGCAAAAAAGCTAGGCTACCAGAGTGGCCGTGGACCACTTGCCCGGCAGGGCCAAAAAAAAAAAAAAAAAAAAAAAAAAAAAAAATTTTTTTTTTTTTTTTTTTTTTTTTTTTTTTTTAATTTTTTTTTTTTTTTTTTTTTTTTTTTTTTTTTTTTTTTGTGTGTGTGTGTGTGTGTGTGTGTGTGTGTGGTCCGATGGACCACGGATCAGATATTAAACGGATCAGAACAGATACTACACTTGATCTTAGCCAAAATTTCGATGTGACCCTGAGGCAAAAGTTGTTCAGTTTATTTTTCTGCATAACATAGTTTTTGTTTTGTTTTGTTTTTTGGGTGATTTTTTTTTTTTTGCTGGGACCTTCTTTGGCCCCTGCACGGCCGGACCGCCCTGGCAAACAGGGTGAACCGGGCGGCCCGGCTGGTAGCCTAGCAAAAAAGTTGAAAAAGTTGAAAAAAATGAAAAAAGAAAGGAAAAATGTTGAAGAATGAACAAGGAAAAAGTGAAGATAAGCCAAAAAACGTAAGGAACAAAGAAACAACAAAACAACCACGACAAATCAAGTGCTAGGAAGAAAGGAACCAAAAAAATCACCTCCGCAAATCAAGCTCTGCTCTGCACAGTGAAATGGATCCTTTTCTTTAAAACCACCAGTACCTCCGCCAGTGTTGGGAAAAAGGGAAAACTGGCAGTTTTCCCACACTCCGAAAAATCAGAGGCTGGCCCCGACAACAGCTGCCATTGATAAATAATCTGATCGGCTGCCGTCATTTCGTTTCGGCCTCCTCAAAGGTCGGAGGTCCACCCAAAACCCACTATTTTCGCACTTGGCAAAGGTACTACCGTCTTCGCCCGAATAGAACGCCCGGTCATTATCGCTGCATCTGGACCAATAGTTGTGCCAAATACGGCTATAATGACCGGGCGTTCTATTCGGGTGAAGACGGTAGTGACTTGACACGGAATATGCACAGATTTCAAATTTGACATTTCCCATGCAGACATTCAAGTCATACGTCCGTATGTTGCCCGACAAAGTGAAGCACACCAACTGGCCGTTCTTGATTGCAGGCCGCCATATCGGTCGGTAGACTTGGTGCTTATCAAGAGCAAGCTTCCCTGTCTCTGCCGGCAGCAATACGACCATATAATACCATACTACAATAGAATATAATGAAAAATACAATAAGTTAATAACTAAACAATAAACCAACGACCAGCAAACAAACCGGCTGATCACCAGGCAGGCCACCTGGCTGCGTGTCCTGCTCTGCCCAGCAGGCCTCCTGCCTGACTGGCCATACTATGACTGACTGGCCAACAGCACAAGCCACCTGCGGGCTCAACCAACCGCGCGCTGGGCTGACCAGCTGCCCGCTCCACCAGCCACCTTCTCCACCAACCCGCCGATCAGCTGGGCTGCATGCCAACAAATAAATAAGTAAACCCCTTCTTAACCCCCCTGCCCCCCCAACAAAAGAAGCCAACTCAACTCACTCTTTAGACTCTTTAGAGTCTTTAGTCTTTACGGACTGCAAGCTTCTCTGTGTTTTCAAACAAAAAAGAAACAACGAGCAAACTCAATCTTCATCAACAGCAGGCTTCCCTGTGTGTTGTTGAACAAAAGAAACAAATAGACTCGTTGTCAGTGGCACAAAGAAAGATGATCCCTAAGAGGGTGGAAAGCCAAGTGCGGTGGAGTAAGACCTCCGGTTCCAAAAGCCTCAAAGTGGCTGCAAACATGTTTCTTGTGGCCCATGTTCCTTCAGCTGGGCCACTATGATAACAAATTTTACCACAACGATTTCATTACTTGGTGGTAGGTGGTGGGACGTGGACTTGGTCAACAAAGTGTGTGTGTGTGTGTGTGTGTGTGTGTGTGCGCGCGCATGTGTGTGTGTGTGTGTGTGTGTGTGTGTGTGTGTG